TTCTTTATTTTTGCTTTAGTCATCTGGCACATCACATGTGCAACATAGGTGCATTTGCTGGAACAAAATTACGGCTCCAATTTGGGGATTTTTCTTAAGCGGGGACCCCATATTTTGCAGAGTTATTTTTCATATTTAAAAATGCCATATTTCATTTAATTTTTGTGATATGGACAAAATTTTTTCCGGTTTCAACTCCCCTTGATGTGCTCTTTCGAACACATTGTAAAAAAATATGCGTATTAAAAACTTCAAAAGTGGTAAAAAACATGACGTCATCACTTTGACGTCACAACTTTGACATTTACTGACATTTATCACGTAAATATAATTGGCAATAGGTCTCCTGCTCATCTGCCAAGTTTGGTGTAGAAAGAGTCAATACTTTTTAAGTAATGCGAAATAATGTGAAATACCCAAAAACTGACGAAACATTTGGGGGGTGGTTTGGCCCCTACGTGGTACGGAAAAGCTCTTCCATCTAAGGAGCAAACTGATGTTTTGGCAGATCTTCGTTGAAGTACTCATAACGTTTCCCATTTCACCAAACAAAAAAGCAGTCAAGAGTATTCCAGAAGTTATCATGCTATAATGGCGGGAGCAGTTGCTTAGCAAAAATCTCCTGTGCCTTAGCCCGGATCGAACCCGATACTCGCCAACTGGTTCTTGTTTACGTTGACCGTCTTATTCTCCGGTGAAATTTTTAATTGGAGAGGTATGCTTGGACTCAAGGTTATTATCTTGAACTCAGGGCTAAAGTGCGGAGTTAGCGTCAAAATGCGAAATATTCTATAAAGGAGGATGTACTCTAGCTAGTGCAACGGTAATTTGACTTATGTTGTAACTAGGGGGGATGAAGGGTTAGATAGTACGTATATATGAAGACATGATTGATCATCGCAGTTATACACACAACTTAAGCAGCTGTGAAATGAAAGCCTGAAAAAAAGTCAGGCCTGAACGGAATTTGAACCCATGACCTCTGCGATACCGGTGCAGTGCTCTACCAACTGAGCTATCAAGCCAACTGGAAGCAAGTCACATTGTTAGTTCGTAATATAAAAAAGATCATATATTTGAACTGCGGAGAAAGACATGAAGGCATGATTGATCATCGCAGTTATACACACAACTTAAGCAGTTGTGAAATGAAAGCCTGAAAAAAAAAAGTTAAGGCCTGGTAGCTCAGTTGGTAGAGCACTGCACCGTGCATCAGAGTGATGGTGATTATGATGATGACGATGATCAAACAGATCGAAAACGTTTAGACTCATAATATAAACAGCTTTTTACCTTAAAGTTTTATATTTTAAAGACTAGATTAACACACAACAATTGAATTTGGTTTACGATTCCTTGCTTTGCGCAGTTTATTAATTTTTGCCCAGTTTCTGGGCAGGTACTTGTCAATTATTAGTAACTGCTAAAAGTTTCACAACCTTCGAAATTAAAGCATCTTCTGAACAGCAATCATCTTAGCGATTTATTCGGTAATTCTAAAATCAATGTCTTTCACTGGAGAAGATTGGTTCCCAGTAGCGACTTTTCTTTGTTATTGCTTTGAGCCCATTTCTCGCCTGGTGCCTGGTGCCCTACAGACAGTCGCAGCTACCTCACACATTTCCAGCAGTTTATTTTCGGTCTGGAAGTAAACCAATTATATCAATTATAATTAAACATCATTGGAGGTTAGTAAGAGGTTACCCATGTCACTGGCCAACTGTCTCACAATTTAGCCACTTAGTTTATAAATATATGCACAACAGTTTCGTAATCACTCTTAAAATTTATGCGACAATAATCAATTTTAAAGAGGCAGCACTTGAATTCCATTGTAAATTTATTTTTAATTTTGCGTGTCCAAAGCTTAGAGGACGTTTATGATTATAAATTCGGAAAACGGCGCGAAAAGCATTTTACTCAATACTACACAAAATTAAAGCTGTGTTTATTCATTGAGTTTGCTCCTCGGATCGTTTCAAAACTAGTCACAAACTCTTATATGACTTTTCTGTAACATCACAATAGTGATTATTGCACTCCTAAGTCTGTCTCACATAATAACTAGCGCAGCCTATACTGTACTGTACAAATTTTAAATTAATCTCAATAGGTAGCCGGAAAAAAGTGAAGTTAAGGCAAAAGACACTACCTCTGCACAGCTGCTTAGCTGACGTTTTCCTACGCCCCCAGCTCCCATGGTGAAAGCCTCGGTTTGAAGAGCAAACATCGACATCAGAATTGCCACGACAAGGACCACAGTAACTACCTTGAAATTCATCTTGACGTTGAGTTATTTGGAGAAATTTGAAAGCAGACAACGGTGTACGGGAGGTTTCTCCTCAAACAAATGTGTAAGACTACAGACAAGCGATTCATTTTATAGGCGAATCGTGCTCTCGTCAACCGGAATTTGTATCCTACAAATTAAAATACAAGATGTAAAGATATAATTCAACTGCGTATATATGAACCGACGTATTACGAATGTGGTCTAATCTCAGATTTATTTCCTCCTTTAGTTCCCGTTGCTCGCAGTCAGACGTTAAGCATTTTATCGCATTGCTAGTCTATTGCAACAGCGAGATTATCACTTTCTTGAACCTGCCATCTCGTGTCACCAAACTGTCAAGAACAGCGCCGCTTTATTCAGTTCGTTATTCTACCGCGTTAATAATTGCTATCCGTGGGAATTATCGTTAGCGGTATCTCATAAGGACAGCCCTGAGGGGACAATTTTTTTAACAAATGATATTTATCAAGCAACGAAAGCTAGATGTTCGAAATTGGTCAAAATGAAAGTTTATTATCTCCATAAATTTGCGTCAATCTGTGCTAGGTCTTCCGCTCGGGGAAATTAAAATGATATTTACTCTCTACGGGCTGGCCTTTCAACTCTAAGTGGTTTGTTGGGTCATTTTATACGTCTTGGAATTCACTTTAGTTAGCAATATTGAACCATGCACTTAATTTACCTAAGGCTACAGTTTTTCCGAGGGATCACTTAAAGCTTTGATATTACAGACTTTCGAGCTCAAAATGTAAACAAAATAGTTGGTGGTCAGTTGATACCTTCCATAGATTACTGCAGTTTTGTTTGTCCGAGTGGGTAGGAACATTCATTTTGACCTCGGGCTTGAAATAGCTAAAGAAACCGAATTAACGAATATACATTTATTTGAATGCATTCAGTATAGTAGTGATTTATCAGCGATGTTTTTACTAGAAAGACAACACAATAAACTGGAATGAGCGTATTACTGGTTATTTTGATACAATATTATTCTTTTCCTCTCTTTGTGTATTGGAATACAAAATCATACAATAGGAGAGAGTCAAATTATCGGTAATCCTTGTAAAATCTCAGAGTTAGTCATTTCGATACGATCTAAAGAAAATCCGAGAGGATTCTCGGTTGGAAGTCAAATATTTTGGTTTTGACAAAGATATCTCTGAGACATGAGGCCATTTGTTATTCTGGAGAGAGCATCAAATGGAGAACTGGCTAACAATTGCGACAATAGGAGTAAATGGTAAAATCCTTTCTACACAAGTTAAAATGGCGTGTCCTCAGTTAAAAATTTCTCACGCCTTCTACTATTACACGACAGTTATCCTTGTTCAGTTCCCAATATGGAAACTTATAGACTTAGTGGCACCGACAGAATTGAACTTAATAAACATTTATCTGTTAGTAAATAATGTACGATGAAATAATCTTGATTTGTGGTTTGTCCTGCTGCGAAAAATGTGCAGGTCAACTTGACGAATAATGTGAAAAAAGAAACCCGGAAGTAACTTCACTTTGTGTATGCTGTGACATGTTAATCTCCTTTTTGCCTCAGTCATTGTCCTTTTCGATTTTTTTTTTTCGCTTTCTGCCGGTGTATAGTCATCATAAACACCCTAGATACCTGGGAAGAGAATTTAACCACGGACATTGCCTCAGTCATAATTTTTTCATGCGTGGAAATTGCATCAATCTTAATTTTGTTCTGGCTGCGCAACTACTTTCGTCGATCTACTACTACCAAGCAACATGAGTTGCCAGTCTTCTCTCTTCCCTCTCACTCAGTTTAATCGCTGTGGTCAATGATAACTTGTAATGTGTGTTAAAGTATGCGTGTTCAAAACATTTTGAGTTAATCCTTCTTACCAAATGAATCGTATACACAAGATATCTAACATATCAATTGAAAAAGGAATATTACAGCCAAATCCAGTATCACTTGACATTCCTCTGTGAATCTATTATTTTGGTAGAGTACATTAGGATAAAGAAACTAAAATCTTTTTATAAAGTGATGTTACATATTGTTAGTTATACACACAAATCACCTAATCTACTTGAACCTTAAGTGTTTTTAATTTCATGCTTATTTCGTTTGCATTCTTTTCAAAAAGCCTGCAATAAAAATTGTGATTAAATTTTTGTCACAACTAGTAATTTGAACTGTAACTTTAAGAGCTCGCAATAGTGTTTGCTCTTAATTTTCATTTTTGAAAACACGCACATCTCCTCAAGCATCTTTCGAAAACTTGCAGTCGTGTTGAATTAGGCAGAAATCATACTTATCTTTCATTTCCATAATGTTCTTTATTAGGAAGTATAAATGGAATGAAGCTGGAAGAATGGTTTGGGGTTTCGTGAGGGAGTAATTCTTCAATTTCTCATGAATCTTCGCCGATTACGCAATCGTGTTTGCGTATCATGAGTAGCAGGAAGTATACTGTGATAATAATTCAATCATCCACTTTCGAACAAACCAGCGGCGTTCTAATTCAGGGGTAAAACGTTTTAGCTTAGTTCTTCCCTGAGCAGGCTTTTTTTTACTGTAAAACTCGATAGTTAGGATGAATGGAAAAAAATGTTGTTTAGGCTGGGAAAAATGCCGCTGGATCCACCGTAAAGTAATTTTTTTAAAATATTTTATGCATATCATGAAGTATTATGGGTCTAGAAAACTTTCTCTCAACAGAATATATGTTAGGATTGTTGAATAACAACGATATTAGTTTATGGAAGTTATCTTACGTCATATTCCAGTGTTCAAAACACTATACTCTATTCATGTGTACATTGTGTTAAAGTAAAATTAATGGTGATACTGTAAAACTGGCGGTTACGTCTTAAGGAACTAGGGACTGTCTTGGCTTATCGGTGCGTTTTTTACGGAACATCAGAAAAAAGAACGCTTGTCAGATTTTTTCTTACGCGACAATGTAAGTGATTTGACTAGGTTATTGCCACATGATCTAACAACTTCACTATCAGCTCGTTTTTAGTGGATGAAGTATTTTCAAGGCACGCCTGTAAACGTCAAATTTCGGATTCCGTAAAGTATTCCACAATGAAACTGTTAAAATTCATACTCTAAACCTGTATCCTTTCACTCCTTCAAAAGGAAACAAAATGTCAGCTAAGCTCTGCTGTTCTAAGATAAGTTTAATATCCTGGCGTTAGTGTTAATAAGTGCACAAAGATAACCTTCCTATGAGCCTAAAGGTAGAACATAAAAATAATAATATCAAGATTGTCGATGACTCACGGTATATTTTATGATATACCATTCACTCAATAAACTTCCCAGGAAATAACGACTGATAAGACTTGTCAGTATTCCCTAGCTGTTCTTGCAGGCAATATTTTGAAAGTTGCATCTAGATATTACACAAGAAATAACATTAAAAGTGTTCTATATTTTCATTTGTTTCCAATTGGCTCTTAAGTCCTGATAGAATGACAACTAAAGATGAGAGTAATGGACAGGAATCTTTCCAAACATTCACTGACTCTCGGCAACAGCATGTAGTAAAACGAGCTTGGCGACAACGTCTACTTACAACAATAGCTGGAGACAACGCAAGAAATTCGAGGATGATAAATAAAAGACTATGAGCGTAAATATGTATAAAAGTTAGAAATCAAAAGATCGAGAGCTAGAATCATGTGAAGACCCAGCAACATATATTTTTAGAATTTCAATGTTTTCATCGACTTACCTATTTTTGATAAGGATAATTAATTTTTCTTACTGTCTTCACAAGTTTGAATGAAAAACAAACGTTTACAAGGCAATAGACAGCCAAGGTTAGCCAAATGTTTCAGTGTTGTTCAGCGGTCCATTTGCCGTGGTTCGTTTCGACTGCCATATTTGGGTTCACTGCGCAAAAGAAATCGCATTTTTTACTCTTAATCTGATTTTAAATTAAAACACTCATTGTGTTTCACTATAGGGCGTACGTAGAGAAAGGTTGTTAACCTTTTCAAGTGGTTTTTACGTTCTTTGCGATGAAAATTGTTTTGATTGAAAATTGTCTCTGAAAATTCCATATAGTTTATAAATATGTCTACTTCAGGCTAGTCTTGCCGCCTAACGTGTAAATATAATGTTTGGCTCGTTAACTGGACTTTGCATGGACAAAGGAGGTTACTTCCAGGGTTCTTATTGCAGAATCTTACAAAGCACGATCACTTCTTAGCCTCACCCATAAAGTTGTGACATAAGATTGAGTACCACGTTACTGGTACCTAGCATCATCAAGGAAAACCTGACCTTGTGCAGTCAATGATGGAAGACATCATTCCATTGAAAAAATATTTTTCGTTAAACAAAAAATAAAAAATAATAAAGTAGCCATTAGTATCGTTTGAATTTGTGGAGCCCCTTGGAACCTTTTTATAAGTTCACCATTTTTCCCAACTCTGATTCACGCCACGTAAGACAAGCATGTTTAGCTTAACAGAGCTTATCGAAATCCACTGTTGACAGAAAGTTGAATTTTTATACGCATGTTAATTTTGGTTCAAATTGTGGTTTTATTGCGAATATTTTCTACTGAGACAATAAACACTAAAACACTAAAAGAACGTTTCGACCTACGAACTTCGGTCTTCATCGACTGTGAATGGAAAGTGCAACAATGGTAACGTTACGTTAACTTACACGTATGCGCCCCAAAAAAAAGATCATACTCCGATCCAGCTCTGTAAATAGTCTGGCAATAGAAGCGAAACATCTGTTTCAGTGTCACCTCGCAGCTAATGGAAGCATCTTCTGACCCTAGGAAACTTAGGCTTCCATGTATGTGTTAATGTCAAGTCTTGTTTGTTACCATGTGTGTTTACAAATTGTTCGAACCTGAAGGAAATTGAATCTGAGAATTTTGTTAGGTATATGTTTCAGAGTGAGGTTTTGCGATGAGGGTTGTCGCTGACATTATGAAAAAAAAAACGTTTCGTTCTTCCTGAAATTAATTAACCGAAAGATATCACAGGTTTTTGTCTTTGAATTGACGTACAAATGAATCACCTAGATGTACGTCGCAGAAATTGAGATCGATTCTATGTAAAGT